CGTAGCCCAAGGATGCCCTAGGCCAGAGGTCGGTGATCGACTTTGTAGTTGTGTAATCTGATTTCCGGTCACGTGTCTCGGACACTCGGGTGAAGAGAGGGGCTGACGGCACCCCTTACCGTCAGCCGGTTCGTGTGCCGCAGTCAGAGATGGCAAAAGTACTCACTTTCCATACTTAAGTAAAAGTTCAGATACTTATGTTAAAAAATACTCTGGTAAAAGTGGAAGTACTGATTAAACTTCTTTACTCAAGTAAAAGTAACAAAGTACAGGCTTGTAAATTTATTTAAAGTATAAAAGTAAAAGTAGAAACCACTTTTTTCATGCCGTTGCCTACATTTTAAATGGATGTCTGCCAATAGGACTAGATCTCCGTTGTGTTCATTTTCAATCATCTCGTCGTCCATGCTACTATGCTAACGCCACCGCCACCAAGCTGCAATGATTTGCCGCCAATGAATACCGCCGAATCTGTCGATTCATCTTGTAGTGGTGCATCAAATGCAACGTAGATTCCCATCCAATTAGATTGAATTTGGTATTGATGACGTGAAAAATAATAACGGTAACTCCATTGAAATGATTCAAAACTAAAGTAATGAGCCAATTTTTTAAAATGTAAGGAGTAGAAAGTACAGATATTTGTGTAAAAATGTAAGGAGTAGAAGTAAAAAGTCGCCATAAAAATAAGTAGTAAAGTAAAGTAAAAATATCAGAAAAATCTACTTGAGTACAGTAACGAAGTATTTGTACTTCGTTACTTCCCATCTCTGGCCGCAGTCGGCGGCCCCCAAGGGTTTTGCAGCAGGGACGCCATCCTCAAGAGGTCCTCCTCCATCACCGTCCTCCATGGACTCTGCCTCATCTCCGGACTCAGGGCCGTCCTCCATGGACTCTACCTTTTAATTACAGTACTTTGAAAATGCTGAAGGCAACGAAAAATGAAGTGGAATTGCCCTTTATTCATTTCCTGAATAGAAAGCTAGAATCAGAGCCCAACTTCAGCTTCGAACAGCAACCTTAATGCTTAGTGTTGCTTAATCGAATATGATATAATAAAAAAATCTTCATCTGCATCCAGCTTATGTGCAGTTTTTGCCCAAACATTTTGTTTTTGTCATGGATCATTGTCATTGGGTCAATTAAGTTTACACAGTTTGTATAAGCTATGTTTGTTCTCTACTTCCAAAATCAGCATCTCTTGATCCCTGCCTTCTACAAAAAGTTTCTTTTGAAGATGTGAGATGGCGCTCTTGGAAGTTGTTTTCACTGGATTTGACAAAACTTTGCCTAACCTATGCATTCAGCATACAATGAAAGTTTTTGATCGAAATTACAAATCTGTTTCCTGTTATGCAGAATTACAAATAATGTGCATCCAATGAACCTGCCTTCTTTTTTGGGGGAAATATACAATTTATGCTCAAATTAGTAGTCACTGATTTACCGTTACCTGTTAACTATGACAAACTGGATCCTTTTGATGTTCTTTTTGATGTTTTGTGTGATTGCAATTGTCTCTACCTGGCCGGCTTCCAATGAACCAGAGCAGAGCAAAAGATTTGTTTCTGCCTGGTACATGGTTATGCTTTTTTTGTCTCTGTCTAGTGTAGTGAGTATTTTGTATTGTACTGGAGCAACTTAAAAAGCTATAAAGAATCTGCATCAGCGGTCAAACCCTTTTGTTGGAATTAGCAGTGTGAGTACTTCCCCAATATTGCTATGTTTTGTTTTGTTCCTATTTCTCTTTAAATCCCCAATTGGCCATGCAGATGGCCACTAACACTGAGCCAGATTCTGCAGGAGGTTTCTTCCTGTAAAAGGTAGTTTTTTTCTCTCCACTGGCGCTGCATGCATGTTCAGTGTGAAGCATTCCTGTCAAGTCATTAAGTCGATGCAATTAGCTGGTTTTCCTGAGATAGAACACTTTGAACCTATCTGACTGTACCATCTGGTTGAATTCTCTCTGTAAGGGGCCTTGAAATTATGTGTTGTAAATTGGCTCTATATAAATAGACTGCATAAAATTTTGTTACATGTTTCTTTAAACAAAATTCCTATATCCACTATTCTTTCCTTATGCAAAATCCTGGTAGTGTGTGCCTTTCACATTAATCAGGTGCAGATAAGCCTTTAGGATTGCTTGACAGTTGTCGTTATTTGAGTTATAACAGACAAATCAGTAATTGTAATGGGTACTGTTACAGTTGTACTGCTCCAAAGAATCGTTATGCATGGAGAATAGAGCTCACAAAAACTCAAAGTACCTCTTTTTGTGACTCAGCTTTTTCAGTTAAGGATTGGCTCTGTACGCCATATTCATCTGGTTAACGAAACTTTCAGAGAATATCTCAAAACTCAGTTTACAGTACAGATTGTTTTATGATTGTAGAGTTCTGACACTCCAAAGAAAGAAGAAATAAATTTATTTGTATAGCTAAATAACAGTTTTCTAAATTTAAACTTATGTGCTTGCTGTTGAATTTGTCATTTTATTTATACTATGGATAACATAGAATCCTGTTGTAATACTTAATATAGTATAGTTGTACCATCTAAGCCTTTGTAGCTCACTTTAAAACTGCTCAGATACTACTTTCACATTTCTTTGAAGTTATTTTGTGTTTTATGTTTACGTGTTTCAGTGAGTTTGAGAAGACAAAATAGGTATAGTTATAGTCTTTTTAACAAATAAGGTGATTTGTAGGTCAGAAATTGACTACAGGTTGAAATGAATCCCTTTAAGTTTCACGGTTATATTGTCTATGAGCAGCATTAGCTTGTAGCCTTTGTTGTTTTGTTTACTTTGTTTTTCCATTTTGGTAATATCTTTCTATACATGGTAAAATGTGTGGTAAGTGACCTTGTAAACATGAAGTCATATTTTGATCATTTGAAAACTTGTTTAAATTAACATTTATACTTTGGAATATACATAGGAACCTAATAAGCAAAAAATAAAAATAAATTAAAAAATACTAATGATAATTTATATATTGTTAAATATAGTTGATTTGAGTAAAAGATAAAACCTTAAAAAACTGCAACCCTTTCTAGGGTTTTAGAAGATTTATAATATAAATTTAGGAACGTGAAAACGTTGCATCTTTACATTTTTAACACATGTTACAATACAGTAATATTAAAAAAATAGTAAAAAAAAAAGCGAATTAAATGAATGCACTTACATCATCACCACTCTGATTGGATAAGAGTATTATCTCCTCTAGATGTATAAAACGCATTATTTAAAGGAGAATCTGGTTCAGTGAGTTCTAGAAATAAAACATGTGGGAACCCTTTTTTGTAATGTTAATATTTGTTGTAATTATTGGAAGGTTAGCACAGGATGAAGCTGCTTTCTGTGAGATGCTGGGGAGCAGAGAGGTTCCTCTTATGTCTAAGAAAGGAGATATCATTATTGGAGGAGCCTTTTCCCTTCATAGCCAAATCTCAAAGCCGTCACTCTCCTGGAATGCATCACCTGAACCTCTCATCTGTTCCAGGTACAGACACACTCATAGTTATTAACTTTAATCAAATTTTAACAACAATAAAATCCATAACATTTTAAATGTCTTTTTTTTCAGAATTAATTTAAGGGAATTTCGTTTTGCTCAAACAATGATATTTGCTATTGAGGAAATTAACAACAGAAGCTCTCTACTTCCAAATGTCTCAGTTGGGTATAAGATATTCGACAGCTGTGCTTCCACATTGTCTACTACACGTGTGGGAATGGGTTTAATAAATGGAGAGGAAAGGACTTTTGAAAAAAACTGCTCTGGTCAATCCTCTGTTCATGCTGTCGTTGGAACTTCTGAGTCCTCTACAACAATTGTGATGTTACAAACATTAGGGATTTTTCAAATACCAGTGGTAAATACTTATATTTATCCAGCATCAATGGAGCTTAGGATACTGTTGATAATGACTAACAAAATTTCACAAAGCTGAAGATTCAATAAATACTTGTAACAATATGGCAAACTAGAAAGTATCTCTCAACATACTGAATGTTTCTTGGTGTTACTCTTTTTTCTTATAGATAAGTCATTTTGCAACATGTGCTTGCCTCAGCAACAGAAGGCAGTATCCCTCCTTTTTCAGAACTATTCCCAGCGACTATTTCCAGAGCAGAGCACTAGCCAAACTGGTAAAGCACTTTGGATGGACATGGGTTGGGGCAGTAAGAAGTGATAATGATTATGGTAATAATGGGATGGCAACTTTTATTGAAGCTGCAAGTCAGGAGGGGATTTGTGTTGAATACTCTGAAGCCATCTCAAGGACTGGTTCCAGAGAGCATGTCAAGAGGGTGGTCAGAGTTATCCGTAGAGGTACTGCAAGTGTTTTAGTTGCGTTTCTAGCTTATGATGAGATGGATGTTTTGCTTGAAGAAGCTTTGTTTCAAAATCTGACTGAATTACAGTGGGTTGGGAGTGAATCCTGGATTACATCAGCTCATTTGGCGAAAGCAAGGTACTCTGGCATACTAAGTGGATCACTAGGCTTTGCAATAAGAAAGGCAAAAATTCCAGGCCTAGAAGGCTTTCTCTTACAGGTAAACCCTAAGCAGGAACCCCGGAGCAATTTACTGAGAGAGTTCTGGGAAACGAGCTTTGGATGCAGTTTCCAGTCTAATATGCCTGGCACAAAGCTATGTACTGGCTCTGAAAACCTTCAAGATACAAATAATGCTTTCACAGATGTTTCTGAACTACGGATATCCAACAATGTGTATAAAGCTGTGTATGCAGTAGCTTATGCCTTACATAACATGTTGAAATGCGAGCAAAATGACGGAAAAGTAAACTACACTTGTAACTTGAACGATTATATAGCACCAAGACAGGTTAACAATTAATTTCATTTTTGAAATAAACATTTCATGATAGTTTTAGAATTGCTTTAAAATGTATCTTTAAATCTGTTAATTATTTGTAGGTTGTAAAATATCTCCAGGACATACGTTTTACAGTTCAGTCGGGAGAGAAAGTGTTTTTTGATGAAAATGGAGACCCAGCCGCAGTTTATGACCTTGTAAACTGGCAGAGAAATGCTGCAAAAGACATTGTTTTCACAACAGTTGGGATTTATGATGCTTCGCAGCCAAACGGAAAGCAGTTAAGCATGAATGGAAAAAACATCACATGGGCAGCAGAATCCATGGAGGTACCAGCAAAAACATATTCTCCAATTGTCGCTTGGCACAATAGGATAAAAAGTAGTTACTGTTTGTCTGTGTACCAACAGCTTAAGTGATTTATGTTTGCTTGTTTTTTATTTAGTTCATTTATATGGCATCAATTCACAACACATTTCTGCAAACTGATTCTGATGTTTTTGGGGGGTTTTTTTTGCCATCATTGGTGTTGTAGAGGCCACTGTCTGTCTGCAGTCAGAATTGTCCAGCGGGTTTCCGAAAAGCAACCATTAAGGGGAAACCCATATGCTGCTTCTCCTGTCTCCCATGTGCCGCTGGAGAGATCAGCAACACTAGCAGTGAGTAAAATAAATATTTCACTGTTTTCCTACATTTCTAGTATGAAAATAACACAAACCCATTCCAGATCTTGTTTTTTGTGGTTAGATTCTGCAGAGTGTTCACAGTGTCCCCTGGAGTACTGGTCGAATGTCAATCATAGCAAATGTGTTCCAAAGGTGATTGAGTTCCTTTCATATAAGGAGACTATGGGGGCTATCCTAGCTGCCTTCTCGTTATGTGGAGCAAGTTTAACACTTATAATCCTGTGTATCTTTCTATGGTTCCGACACACACCTCTTGTCAAAGCCAGTAATTCTGAGCTAAGCTTCCTGCTACTCTTCTCCCTGACTCTGTGTTTCCTTTGCTCTCTGACTTTCATTGGTCGGCCCACTGAGTGGTCCTGCATGCTTCGACATACAGCTTTTGGCATAGCTTTTGCTCTGTGCATCTCATGTATACTTGCTAAAACTATAACTGTGGTGATGGCCTTTAAAGCTAAAAGACCAGCAAAAACAATCCCTCAGTGTTCAGCGCCTCTTCAGAGAACAAGTGTTCTCGGCTGTACTTTAATTCAAGTGTTGATTTGTGTGATCTGGTTAACTTTTGCCCCACCCTTTCCACATAAGAACACAGTTTATGCCAATGAAAAGATTATTTTAGAGTGTGATTTAGGTTCACCTATAGCCTTTTGGGTTGTTCTAGGGTATATTGGACTTCTGGCTTCACTGTGCTTTGTTCTTGCTTTTCTGTCTCGAAAGTTACCTGATAATTTTAATGAAGCCAAATTCATTACCTTTAGTATGCTGATATTTAGTGCTGTATGGCTCACTTTTATCCCTGCATATGTCAGCTCTCCAGGTAAATTTACTGTAGCTGTAGAGATATTTGCAATCCTAGCTTCAAGCTTTGGACTCCTTTTTTGTATTTTTGCACCAAAATGTTACATTTTACTTCTAAAACCTGAGAGAAATACTAAAAACCATATGATGGGAAGAAAACAGTAACATTAGCTTATTAGGTGTTGAAAAACCGCAGTAGTCAACTTAATGGTCTTCAATTCAGATTCAGAATTATTTCATTTTTTCTTGTTTTTTAGTCAGTGTTATTTTAATAAATGATAATAATAATCCCCAAACACTTGACCTAGATTAGCAATAGCAAATAATGTATTTATCCCTTTTGTTTACTTTATTTACATTCACAAAACATGTCAGATCATGACAACTTACAAAGATAATTTAATCAAATTATCAAGCCAGATTGTTTATCAATTTTCTGATTGACCTGTGTCACTGACTTAACAAAATTTGCTCCTCTCAGTGATCATGTAGTTAAAGTATATATTCCTTTGCATTGTTTCATTAATGTTGCAGCAACTCTTACACCAAGCATGCATCCAGTGATGACAAAATGAAAAAAAAACTACTTTTTAACAAGAAGAAACCTCCAGCAGAATCATGCTCTTTGCAATGATCCATAAATATTTTGTATAATACAGAAGGTGATGGTAAACTGGCTGCATAGGTAGCTCAGTCAAATTAAGAGAGATTTAAGTAAACAAGCTCTTAGCTGCTTTTTTTTTTAGTTCAAAGGATCAAAGAGGGCACATTGTTAGTCACAATAAAAGCTTATCCTATAGCTCTGTCTACTAAACAACGAAAAACAGGCCAGATGCTGTTATCTATAATTCAGGTTGTTGATAGCAGCATTCCAGCTGTTGCATCTCTCCATAATGGTGTCCCAGCTAAACAGAGCTCATGGTCGTAAGCAGCTACCATGACTAGAAAAAAGCTGAGTTTATAAAGTATTCAAAGTTGAAAATAACAAGTTCTGCAAAATTTAGGAGAAATCATCATTGTGTGCCAACAGCCTGGCTCCGGCTATCCTGGTAAGCCACTCTAACCATTGTACAATCTTCATAAAAAATACAACAGTAGCAAATGTAGTCTGAAAAGTAGGCAGGATTTTGCCCTACTGGATTCAAACTGGTAAAGATTCCACAGAAGGGGCTGATTCTAGGAACTAGTAGTAAAGCTGCAAACGGGGAGTGAATTGCTCAGTTAGAAACGCATAAGGAACAATCAGAAATCTGAAGATGGAGAATTATGATTTGGTGCTATATATATATGCGGTAAGGAGTATTTTAAGTTCAATTTAATGGGAAGACATTAAATTGGTAGGCTAAACTGGGAGTTTTTTGTTGTTTTTTTTAACTGCCCTCAGAACTCTTGCAACAATGTTTTGGATAAGTTAATGGCTTTTAACTCCAAATGTGTACACTTCCTGAGTAGCCCAACCTTGACATGACAAATGCAGTGACTAGCCTTTCCGCATGACTGAAAGATTAAAAATAACATGTTTTTATGTTATTAATGGGGAATAATTAGATACCATCCTGATGAAATGACTAAGCAGAGTCCAGTCCACATACAATCACTTCTGTCTAATATGGATTCAAAAGCTGAACATTTAAAAGACATGCCTGTACTACAAAAATGTTTTATGGAAAAATAAGATTTAACCCAGCCTAGGGCTGTTTCCTTAGTTCCTATAGCATGTTCACATAAGTAATAACCGTACAGTGGGAGATATCCCTTTAAGATTCCAGTTTAACAACTTGGTTTCGAATAAAAGGATTTGACATTTTGTGGTATCATAGAAGCTTAATATAATCCTCAAACCATTGAATCTGACTTTGTTTGCTAGGCTATTTATGTCTGGGTTTTGTGTGGCAATTAAAATAATTAAAAAAATAACCTTTAGTTTTTGTTGTGACAGGTATTGAACACTCTGCCAATTTAACATACACTAGCAAGTTCACTATACTGGACCCACAATACAAATCCAATCCCATTTTATTTGTTAAGCACTTGTAAAACAACCACAGTAGACCAAATTGGTGTACAGAAAAATTAAACATAAAACAGTACAGATAAAAGACAAAGCAGCTAAAATAAAACAGAAGAGGCCTGTCTGATGTTCTGAGGAAGGTCATTTCAGACCTTTGGAGCTCCAACAGCGAAAGCGTGGTTCCCTCTTAGCTTCTGCTTAGTTTTAAGTTCTCTCAGGAGCAGCTGACCTTAGAGAGCGAGTAGCTGTATGAGGATGTATAAGCTCAAAGAGGTACGGTGGGGCAAAACCTTTTACTAATACCAATATAGATGATCCAATTTCAGAAGAATATATCGTTTATGTATTTTAGTGCTTAATAGCTACGAAGCTATCCAGTTTTTACATGTTTTTTATTTTTCTTTAAGTAAATTGGTATTGACACCACTGTTGTTCTCAAATGACAAAGACATTTAAATCTTATTGTGACAAAAATAGTTCACAGGTTTTTATATAGCCTCGGTATGATTTCTGTTTCATTAAGATATCTTCCTTTGTGTACTTTTGTAAAGTCACAATTATTGCTAGTGTGCATGTATTTATTTGTTAAATAAAAGCTTATCTATATAAAACTAATATATGGCAGATCTGTACTTCTTGTATTTTTTTACAAAATTTCAAGTCTGATAATACACTAGTATGAATACATTGGTATCTTTTTGTTTTCAGAGCCATGAACTCTAGCTATTTGTTCTTTAAGAAAAACAATAAAACCATGTTTTAAAGTCATTTGTTATAGATATTGTTTATTATTTGTTTCATGCTATGCATGCAACTATCTATATAAATGTCTGTGTGTGTTCTTGTACATGATACACTGTGGGGCCCATTTTCTGAAAAAATAGCAGGTTGTGGGGACCAACTGCTCTTTGTGGGCCTGATGCCTGGATCTAACAATGGGCATTGCTATTTTAGGACCAAGGGTCATGTTTGGGACTAAGATGTTAAGTTTGGTGTAAGGATTACATTAGGGGAAAAATTGGTTAGAAATGAATGGAAATGCCCAACAACAATAGAAAAACATATTATGGGTGGCTTTAGGTGTGTGTTGTAGTTGCAGGGGGATCCTAGTGGTATTTTATAATTGATGGTGCTTTTTTTGTATAAGGATGTTTAAGAAAGCCAATTACCCAAATGAAGTTTAACATCGTTCATTAGCAATCTAAAATTGATTGTAAAATACTGTAACGCCGGTGAGTGTTACAAATAATCAGGCTTAGTTGACTGATTTCATCAGTGTTTAATTATTCTTCAACAACTCCGCTAGGGATGCAGCACAACACTTCAGTAAACCCAACAGCCTTATCACTCAGGGTGAAACTCACATGCCCTCAACACACACCCCCAAAACAGCATGAACTGAGGCAAATATGAACAATAAACAACATGAGCAACATTCAAACAGAATAACAAAGAAATAAACAAGCAAACAACCCAAAACAGTGCCCCATAATGCACCTCTTCGTCCAGCCGCTACATAGCCCCCTCCTAAGGGGTCAGACGTCCCCGGCGACCCCATCAGTCATAACAAAATCATTGAAACGAACAGGAAGTCGGCTCAACCGCGCCGGCCGCCCACTGTCCTCTGCGACGGTCTGGTGCTGTGTTGGCTCCTCAGAAACAGGATCAGTGTCTCTCTGAACAGTCGGTGGGGCAAGGGGGTGGTACGGTGCCAGCCGGTCACGATGCAGTACCACCGCTCGCCGGCGTCCAGGCAGGCGCACCCGGTACACCACATCAGACAGCACACCCACCACCTCTGCAGGTCCCTGCCAGTGGCTGCTCAGCTTGGGACAAACACCCTTCTTCCGAATAGGGCAATACACCCACACTCTGTCTCCATGCTTAAACACCTGTCCCGTGCAGCGTGTGTCGTAGGCCCTCTTTTGTTTTACGCCGGCGCCAGCCTGCGCCTGTCGAGTGAACTCGTGGACCTCCTGAAGGCGGTCCCTCAGCCGGCGGTAGTAGTCCATCTCTGGTCCACCTACAATCTCGGGTTCTGGTGGGGCCCCGAACACCAAATCTACTGGTGTACGGAGCTCTTGCCCAAACATGAGGGCAGCAGGTGTGCACTGACTGGACTCCTGAACTGCAGTGCGGTAGGACCAAAGGACCAAGGGTAGGTGAC